GGTCATGGTCATTGTGAGATTGCACTGTGATGCAGTCTGTGATGGCAGCAACCCTGGCATAATGGTCATTGTGAGATGGCACTGTGATGCAGTCTGTGATGGCAGCAACCCTGGCATCATGGTCATTGTGAGATGGCACTATGATGCAATCTATGATGGTAGCAACCCTGGCATAATGGTCATTGTGAGATGGCACTGTGATGCAGTCTGATGGTAGCAACCCTGGCATCATAGTCAATGTAATATGGCACTGTGATGCAATCTGTGTTGGCAGCAACCCTTGCATCATGGTCATTGTGAGATGGCATTGTGATGCAGTCTGTGATGGCAGCAACCCTGGCATCATGGTCATTGTGAGATGGCACTGTGATGCAGTCTGTGATGGCAGCAACCCTGGCATCATGGTCATTGTGAGATGGCACTGTGATGCAGTCTGTGATGGCAGCAACCCTGGCATCATGGGGACTGTGAGATGGCACTGTGATGCAATCTATGATGGTAGCAACCCTGGCATCATAGTCAATGTAATATGGCACTGTGATGCAATCTGTGTTGGCAGCAACCCTTGCATCATGGTCATTGTGAGATGGCATTCTGATGCAATCTGTGTTGGCAGCAACCCTGGCATCATGGACATTGTGAGATGGCATTATGATGCAATCTATAATGGTGGCAACCCTGGCATAATGGTCATGGTCATTGTGAGATTGCACTGTGATGCAGTCTGTGATGGCAGCAACCCTGGCATAATGGTCATTGTGAGATGGCACTGTGATGCAGTCTGTGATGGCAGCAACCCTGGCATAATGGTCATTGTGAGATGGCACTGTGCTGCACTATATAATGGCAGCAACCCTGGCATCATGGGGACTGTGAGATGGCACTGTGATGCAATCTATGATGGTAGCAACCCTGGCATCATAGTCAATGTAATATGGCACTGTGATGCAATCTGTGTTGGCAGCAACCCTTGCATCATGGTCATTGTGAGATGGCATTGTGATGCAAACTCCGATGGCAGCAACCCTGGCATCATGGTCAATGTAATATGGCACTGTGATGCAATCTATAATGGCAGCAACCCTGGCATCATGGGGACTGTGAGATGGCACTGTGATGCAATCTCTGATGGCAGCAACCCTGGCATCATGGTCATTGTGAGATGGCACTTTGATGCAATCTCTGATGGAAGCAACCCTGGCATTATGGTCATTGTGAAATGGCACTGTGATGCAATCTTTGATGGCAGCAACCCTGGCATCATGGTCATTGTGAGATGGCACTGTGATGCAAACTCTGATGGCAGCAACCCTGGCATCATGGTCATTGTGAGATGGTACTGTGATGCAAACTCTGATGGTAGCAACCCTGGCATCATGGTCATTGTGAGATGGCACTATGATGCAGTCTGTGATGGCAGCAACCCTGGCATCATGGTCATGGTCATTGTGAGATTGCACTGTGATACAATCTCTGATGGCAGCAACCCTGGCATCATGGGGACTGTGAGATGGCACTGTGATGCAATCTATGATGGCATTAACCCTGGTATCATAGTCAGTGTGAGATGGCACTATGATGCACTCTATGATGGCAGCAACCCTGGCATCATGGTCATGGTCATTGTGAGATTGCACTGTGATGCAATCTCTGATGGAAGCAACCCTGGCACCATGGTCATTGTGAGATGACACTGTGATACAATCTCTGATGGCAGCAACCCTGGCATCATGGTCATTGTGAGATGGCACTTTGATGCAATTTCTGATGGTAGCAACCCTGGCATCATGGTCATTGTGAGATGGCACTGTGATGCAGTCTGATGGTAGCAACCCTTGCATCATGGTCATTGTGAGATGGCACTTTGATGCAATCTCTGATGGTAGCAACCCTGGCATCATGGACATTGTGAGATGGCACTGTGATGCAGTCTGATGGTAGCAACCCTGGCATCATGGTCATTGTGAGATGGCACTGTGATGCAGTCTGATGGTAGCAACCCTGGCATCATGGTCGGACCATATGCACACTGACAGTGATTCTCACTGCTTATTTACATGGATGTGTAATCCCTTCTACACAGAACTTTTACCCTAAAAAAGAAAACATTATCTATTGCAGGTGTTTTTCTTCTCAGTTATTAGCACATGCACAAGAGTCAAGTACTAAATTTGCACAGGGATACGTTCTGTGATTGGTTACTTTTCATTGTTATCCTCAGGTGCACATCAACATCGTGTCCGTTGTTGCCATGGGAATGTGAGATGGCACTATGATACAATCTATAATGGTGGCAACCCTGGTATCATGGACATTGTGAGATGGCATTCTGATGCAATCTCTGATGGCAGCAACCCTGGCATCATGGACATTGTGAGATGGCATTATGATGCAATCTATGATGGTGGCAACCCTGGCATCATGATCATGGTCATTGTGAGATTGCACTGTGATGCAGTCTGTGATGGCAGCAACCCTGGCATCATGGTCATTGTGAGATGGCACTGTGATGCAGTCTGTGATGGCAGCAACCCTGGCATCATGGACATTGTGAGATGGCATTATGATGCAATCTATGATGGTGGCAACCCTGGCATCATGGTCATGGTCATTGTGAGATGGCACTGTGATGCAGTCTGTGATGGCAGCAACCCTGGCATCATGGTCATTGTGAGATTGCACTGTGATTCAGTCTGTGATGGCAGCAACCCTGGCATCATGGTCATTGTGAGATTGCACTGTGATGCAGTCTGTGATGGCAGCAACCCTGGCATCATGGTCATTGTGAGATGGCACTGTGATGCAATCTGTGTTGGCAGCAACCCTTGCATCATGGTCATTGTGAGATGGCATTGTGATGCAGTTTGTGATGGCAGCAACCCTGGCATCATGGTCATTGTGAGATGGCACTGTGATGCAGTCTGTGATGGCAGCAACCCTGGCATCATGGGGACTGTGAGATGGCACTGTGATGCAATCTATGATGGTAGCAACCCTGGCATCATAGTCAATGTAATATGGCACTGTGATGCAATCTGTGTTGGCAGCAACCCTTGCATCATGGTCATTGTGAGATGGCATTCTGATGCAATATGTGTTGGCAGCAACCCTGGCATCATGGACATTGTGAGATGGCATTATGCTGCAATCTATAATGGTGGCAACCCTGGCATCATGGTCATGGTCATTGTGAGATTGCACTGTGATGCAGTCTGTGATGGCAGCAACCCTGGCATCATGGTCATTGTGAGATGGCACTGTGATGCAGTCTGTGATGGCAGCAACCCTGGCATCATGGTCATTGTGAGATGGCACTGTGATGCAGTCTGTGATGGCAGCAACCCTGGCATCATGGGGACTGTGAGATGGCACTGTGATGCAATCTATGATGGTAGCAACCCTGGCATCATAGTCAATGTAATATGGCACTGTGATGCAATCTGTGTTGGCAGCAACCCTTGCATCATGGTCATTGTGAGATGGCATTGTGATGCAAACTCCGATGGCAGCAACCCTGGCATCATGGTCAATGTAATATGGCACTGTGATGCAATCTATAATGGCAGCAACCCTGGCATCATGGGGACTGTGAGATGGCACTTTGATGCAATCTCTGATGGAAGCAACTCTGGCATCATGGTCATTGTGAAATGGCACTGTGATGCAAACTCTGATGGCAGCAACCCTGGCATCATGGTTATTGTGAGATGGTACTGTGATGCAAACTCTGATGTAGCAACCCTGGCATCATGGTCATTGTGAGATGGCACTATGATGCAGTCTGTGATGGCAGCAACCCTGGCATCATGGTCATGGTCATTGTGAGATTGCACAGTGATACAATCTCTGATGGCAGCAACCCTGGCATCATGGGGACTGTGAGATGGCACTGTGATGCAATCTATGATGGCATTAACCCTGGCATCATAGTCATTGTGAGATGGCACTATGATGCACTCTATGATGGCAGCAACCCTGGCATCATGGTCATGGTCATTGTGAGATTGCACTGTGATGCAATCTCTGATGGAAGCAACCCTGGCACCATGGTCATTGTGAGATGGCACTGTGATGCAGTCTGATGGTAGCAACCCTGGCATCATGGTCATTGTGAGATGGCACTGTGATGCAGTCTGATGGAAGCAACCCTGGCACCATGGTCATTGTGAGATGACACTGTGACACAATCTCTGATGGCAGCAACCCTGGCATCATGGTCATTGTAAGATGGCACTTTGATGCAATCTCTGATGGTAGCAACCCTAGCATCGTGGTCGTTGTGAGATGGCACTGTGATGCAGTCTGATGGTAGCAACCCTTGCATCATGGTCATTGTGAGATGGCACTTTGATGCAATCTCTGATGGTAGCAACCCTGGCATCATGGTCATTGTGAGATGACACTGTGATGCAGTCTGATGGTAGCAACCCTGGCATCATGGTCATTGTGAGATGGCACTGTGATGCAGTCTGATGGTAGCAACCCTGGCATCATGGTCATTGTGAGATGGCACTGTGATGCAGTCTGATGGTAGCAACCCTGGCATCATGGTCATTGTGAGATGGCACTGTGATGCAATTTATAATGGTAGCAACCCTGGCATCATAGTCAATGTAATATGGCACTGTGATGCAATCTGTGTTGGCAGCAACCCTTGCATCATGGTCATTGTGAGATGGCATTGTGGTGCAGTTTGTGATGGCAGCAACCCTGGCATCATGGTCATTGTGAGATGGCACTGTGATGCAGTCTGTGATGGCAGCAACCCTGGCATCATGGTCATTGTGAGATGGCACTGTGATGCAGTCTGATGGTAGCAACCCTGGCATCATGGTCATTGTGATATGGCACTGTGATGCAATCTCTGATGGTAGCAACCTTTGCACCATGGGAATGTGAGTTGGCACTGTGATCCAATCTCTGATGGTAGCAACCCTAGCATCATGATCATTGTGAGATGGCACTGTAATGCACTCTATGATGGCAGCAACCATGGCATCATGGTCATGGTCATTGTGAGATTGTGAGATGG